TCAGTTTGGAAACAAATTATTCTCAAAATATGAATTTCATCATCTTACTAGCATGGCCACAGAAGGTATGATTTTTTTTATAATTTTACTTTTTCCATACAAGGGCATTCATTACTTGTTTCCTTTAAACATAATCAAGAGATATCAGAAAAGGAAATCTCTTCTATAAGCATGTCTTCGTCATGTTGGTTTAATCCATTATCGACTATAATCTTATCCATTTTTTTTTTAAACAAGCTCTTTTCTTGCCTAATCTGATTACCTTTATTTCACCTTTAAATATTTTCCATTGTTTGGATGCTTTCTATTACTTTTTCTAGCTGCTCCTCTGTATTTATATATGAATCGGAGGCGTATTTCATATTTAGCCCGGTTGTCATTTGGCATTCTGTAGAATGCCTAGGAAATATGTGAAATATGAATCTTTTCATACATTGCCAGCAAGTTTTATGCATTCTATAAAATGTTGTATTTCAATCTTTGCTAGTAACATATACATATATAAATATGTAAACTAAAATTATAATTTAAACTAGCAATAGCCTCTTAATCCCCTCTATCTGCTCTAAAAATAGTACAGTCAAAAGTCTTTAATCCGGACTCGTCGGGACTTCGGCGATTCCGGATTATCGATTTTTCCGGATTATAGATCATCAGTTTAAATCTCGTAAGATGGCATGCAGAAATTCTAAATTAAAAATATGAAACCGTAATTATGAAATAAAGAACAATTATGATCTAAAGGGTATCAAAATTTGCAAAAAAGAAAAGCTTAATATTGTTTACTTTATTAAACATTTCTTTCAATGTAAGTTGTTTAAGTTTTGCTTCGTTTCATGTGATAATACTTTCTCTTTAATTCTATTAAACAGACAATTTCTTGTTCAGTTACAAAGTTCCGCCGTTCAAGTCCTATAATTGCTGTGTCAAGAACACCGACTAATTTTGTCAATCGAAATTTTTTTGTTTTCAATAACCTCTGTCACTTTTCTTCACTTCGCTATCGGAAGCGAATTATAATGACGAGGAACTTGTTTTAAATCATATCAAAGACGGAGCATATCGAGATGAAATACTACATTTGGTAAGGAATTATAAGCCAAATAAAATAAAAACATCTGCGCTGAAGATAAGGATAGTGCTGACAAATCAACTTCCAATTCATTAGGCGCCCGCCGCCGAGCAGGGTGAAATTGATAAACAGATTTCGGATTTCAAAACATACTTTCGCTTTAGATCCTTTACATATTAACAAATATATATCGGAAATTCTATTTGATATATATGGAAAGTTTAAGCTTACTTTAATAAAATTGCTCTTACAGTCTGCAAAAAATAATAAGCCGGATGCAATTCGAAAATTAAGGAACAACGCAATCATCAACATTAACTGAAATAGATAATTAGATAATTTTAGCTTATACGTCCATTATACATAAAATGCGCACGCGAAAACGTATTCTGCACTTGCGCACACTCATATGCGCAGTCGTAAAAGGTCTTACGCGCACGCGTGAACGCCTCTGCGCATGTGTCAACGTGGCGCATGCGCAGAAAGTTTTTAGTTTTGATGTCCGGATTATAGATCATGCCGAATTATGGGTGTCCGAATTAACGACTTTTGACTGTAATGCCTCTTTCTTCACTACTTCATTTCTACATCTATCTCTATCATATGACTTGCATAACACTGATGACATAGCAAATTCAGAGCTTAAACCAAAATTTTTCGTTATTAGACTGCCATATTGGATAACTATGTTCGTTTGCTTAATATGCAAGACAAAAAATATGTTAATTAAAATTATAATTTAAACTAGCAATAGCTTTCTGTCTGTTCTAAAAATATTAATGCCTCTTTCTGAAATGCATCATTTCAGATTAATCTATATCATACGATTTGCATAATGCTGCTAACGTAGCAAATTCAGAACTTAAATCAAAACTTTCGTTTAATAATCTGCCATATGGTATAACTTCACACGTTTCTTTCTACCTGTCTTGCCTTTAAAATGCTGCTTTGCTCCTCTTTCTATTGTAAAAATTAAAATGTAACTGCTGTGATACAGGCATGATTATTGTGAGTGAACAGTGCTGTAATAATACCTAGTGAACAGTGACCACAAAGCATACAAAATGAAATCAAGGTGAATATTTCATCTGCCTCAGCTGCTAACTTGCTGCTCTTTATTATGGATCAATGTTCTATGACATCAATATTGCGAAGTCTTTTCATTATGTATATGTAGAGGGAGATTTAATTTTAGAATTGAATTGTCTCCTAGGAACAATATTTCAATATTATTGTAACTTAACTAAAGTAAATTAAATTAATATGCAACTCGACTAATTTAGAAGTATGAAATATAAGAGTCAAATTAGGCTGATAAATAGTAACCATTAAAAATGTTATCAAAGTTTACCTGAACGTATGTATGGTACATTATAAAATTATACAAATGAAACAAATGTTAAAAATTTTTACCATAAAAACAAAATTTAAAAATCAAAATTAAATTATTGTTTATTTGCCAAAAGAGAATTTACATTTCAAGGGGAAATAATTTCCATTTAGCAGATTCACAACAATTCGTGAATTATTGTGTTTTGTCAGAATTGATTTCTGAATGCAAACTTATAAATTACTTTTGCTATACATGAAAGCAAAAATAATGATAATATACAGTTTAAATATGTATTCAGTAATGGTTGATTTCCCCAATGCTCTAATGGGTCATATTCATAATACTGTAGGAAAAGGGGGAAATTAAGACTGAGAAAAAAGCAATATCAGACAAAATAAGCAAAACAAAAAATATATGCACAAAGGTATGCTGAATACCTTGCTTCTTCGAAGGCCAGTGGGCAAAGAGATTTTTTCCAAGTGTTTTTCAACGGCTTAAGTGTGGGCATTTTCAGCCAGATTATAAACTTAGATTTTGATCAGTCATAGAAATTTTGGAATTTACATATTTTGTTTCAGTATTGTTACGAGTGGACTCTATGCTTGCAGCAATGCTGTAAAAGATATCTTAATGGATTGTAGGTTGCATGCAGGTGCTAGGAGTGCAGTTAAAATGAGTATACGACAGCTCTTTATTTGCTGGTCTCCGGTTTTCAATGATTTTGTTAGGTGCTCTGGAACTTTTGTAGTCTTGCACAACTTTATTTGTTCTTTCAACATTTATTATTATTATTTATATGATTGGATTTTTATCTTTTTGTGTGGTATTATTTTGCATATTGCCTATGCATGATAACATTATGTCTTGATGTATTGTATTATTGGTGTTTCATTTTCCCTTTGTATCAGTATTATTTTCAAGTATTGTTTCATTTCTATTATTATTAAATTGGTTTATTTTCTTTTATAGGAGTATTAGCATAGTTTAATTACTCATGGTGTATTTTAGTATTTTTGTTATAATAGTATTTTTATTTTTTTTTCTTTGCTCTCTCCAGACCTAGATATTATGTTTTTATTGTTGAATTGCATTTCCATGTATTATGAGTTATTTACTTACATCTGTAAGCCTTGTGCAATACTTCGTGGAACACAAGGAATTTTGTATTTATTAATTTTCCTTATTAAAAAAGTATTAGATATTTAATTAATTTGAAAAATTAAAAAAGCAGTACTATATAACTAAATATACATGTATGAAATAATTTAGATGCTGACATAGTTGCTAATAACGAGAATTGATTCATTAAGACCGTAATGCAAACAGTTCTTGAATTCATTTTAAATGCAGATGGTGCAATCTTGGCACATACAGTTCCTTAACAAATTCATATTTTTAAATAGTGCCTGTAAGAAGACTAGCCATAGCAGTTTATGACAGAGAAGCAGAAAGCAAATGCTATGTGTTCAAGAGGAAAGCTCAGTTCAGAATGATTTAGTTTTTAGTTCATATGTGTTCCCATTGGTTAATTTCAAGTTTAGGTTCCCAAATTTGAAATTATTATCTGTTGAAATTCCGTACGAGTACCTGCATTGCTAGTGTTATGCAAGACTCTTAACATGGATTAATTTTTAAATGAAAAATAATTTGATAAGATTATTTTGTATGTTTGTATAAGGTTATATAACTATTATTTATGCAATATATATGATTATTTTATATATTTATATAAATATATGAACTAATTTTTGTTGGGTATGTGATTTTTATAAGTGGGGTGTGGATTGATTTATTAACATGAGCTCTAACATTTAGATATAAATTGGTAAGTGTTGTTGGTATTTGTCTCTTTTCACTTCTATTTCTTCTTTGTTCCAAATTTGTATGTGTAAAAAAGTAGAGAATGTTTCATTTCTATTATTATTAAATTGGTTTATTTTCTTTTATAGGAGTATTAGCATAGTTTAATTACTCATGGTGTATTTTAGTATTTTTGTTATAATAGTATTTTTATTTTTATTTTTTTTTTCTTTGCTCTCTCCAGACCTAGATATTATGTTTTTATTGTTGAATTGTTTTTCCATGTATTATGAGTTATTTACTTACATCTGTAAGCCTTGTGCAATACTTCGTGGAACACAAGGAATTTTGTATTTATTAATTTTCCTTATTAAAAAAGTATTAGATATTTAATTAATTTAACTAATTTTTGTTGGGTATGTGATTTTTATAAGTGGGGTGTGGATTGATTTATTAACATGAGCTCTAACATTTAGATATAAATTGGTAAGTGTTGTTGGTATTTGTCTCTTTTCACTTCTATTTCTTCTTTGTTCCAAATTTGTATGTGTAAAAAAGTAGAGAATTTTAGTCTTAAAATTTGAATGCTAACAAAGTAAAATTTAAATAGGCCGACAATTATCATTCTATCTGATATATATTTGAAGCTTTTAATAAATGTGCAAATTGTGTATTTTGAACAACTGATTGCAATTGTTGATTGCTTTGTGGATGAGTTGTGAAATACTGCATTAAATATATAAAATAAGCAATATTCTGAACATTGATGTTTTTTAAATGCATCCCCCCCCCCAGAGAGTAAAGGAGCGTAAGCACTACACTGAAGATTGTCTGCAGGATGAAGAGATCGAAGGTCGTCGAATGTTTTCTGTTGAAGAAAAACTAACATGTGATGGCTTTGAAAGTTGTTTTGTAGATGAAATGAAAGGAGAAGGTATGTATTAGTTTATATCTAATGGGGGAAAAAAAAAAAAAAAAAAAATCATTAGATGTGTAGTATGTGAATTTTCAATATTAAAATACTTCAAAAATTATTTTAAGCGAATACTTATTATGGTGTTTTAAATAAAAACTTTTCTTTCGTTAAATTTTAAATACTATTATTCCCAGAAGTGAAAAAGTACAAGTTTTCTGAATTGAAAATATATATAACAGTAAATTTGTGATGTCAGTTACAGGGTTCGTATGCTCCTTAAGAGTCCTTAAAAGTCCTTAAGTTTTTTAAATCGATTTTTGGTCTATAAAAGTCCTTATGGCCAAAATATGCAGAAGGTCCTTAATTTTAATCACCTGAAATTTCTGTTTGTTTTTATGACTGTCATATTGAGTGTGAATTACCATTTTGGAGAATATTTTTGGTGATTCGCTGACAAATATGGTTATCTTTTGAATGGGTAAATGTGTTAATGGGTTATAATTTGTTCCTATTCCTAATATAAATGTGGAATAGAGTTTCTGAGCAAGAAGTGAGACATAAGCATTTCGAAATTATATTTAATTTTTTCTAATGAAGAGCTCTTAAACAACTTTTCGCATTTGGTAATGTAAATTCTTTTATTTTCTTTTATTAAACGATTCTAAATTTGGCGTCTTATCAACATTTTGACGATTTTAAGATCCGTTTCTATAGAAATTTTTTAATACCAAGATCTGGGAATTTTTTGATAACTTTTTGGAACATTTTAAAATTATTAAAATTATTATTATTCATTAAAATAATGGTAATGTATTGAAATATATGTTTAAGAAATAACATCAAAGTAAAGCATTTTTATTTTCCGCTGTCTCATTATAAGTTCCATTTTGCCCACTTATTGAATATTTGGAATCTGAAAAATAAGCAAGGAATAATGCTATAGCAGTGCAATTTACAAAACAGTTCTTAGTAATAGCAAAATAGCTATGTAATTAATTAAAAAAAATTTAATTTTTTCATGGTAAGAGTTTTCCCATGTAATTCTCTCAGAATATGCATCAGTTTTCTCTGTAAAATTAATTTTACAATTTCCTCCCCCTTTTTTTTTTCCAAATTATTTCTGGCGTTTTGCTGTTACAGAATTGGTAGAGGTAATTTTTCTTTAGGATTTTAGATATTGCAGCTTGGAAAGTTTAGAAAGATTTGAAGGCATGATTTATAGACCTACGATTCTAGAAGATTCCAGAAAAATGTGACAAAATGGAAAATGTCTCCATGGTATTAACATGTAATTTTTTACTTTTTGGAGAATGTCTGGAAGAACAATGAAAACATAATAGTTGAATGTTTTACTTGTGATACTAGAATTTTGTTCTTAACATTTTTATCATCCCTTTATTTTCTTTACTTTCCACTAGACACGTGCATGGAAAATATAAAAAATGCTTCTAATCTTATCCTATGGACAGGCATTATAGAAAAGAAGTTTTTAATTAATAAGGAAATTGAAAACTGACAATTTAAAAGATTCATCTAATATGTCTTAATGCATCATACACATAGCTGGCACTAGCCATTTTCCCACCTGATGCAATCTCTGTGGATCCTAAATTCTGCTACTTGGTGCCTTTCTAAATTCTGCCGCCAATGCCTGTTCTAAATTCTAAAAATTTGCCACACGAGCTCTGTAACTGGACCTTACCATATATATTTCATGTTTCTTTTGAATTTTCATATTACTAGAGAAATAAAATTAGCAGCTTTTTCTATACATTCTAAATGCATATAGTTTTATTAGAACAACACAAATCTTTAATTAAATCCAAAAATTCTAAAATGAAAAGGGAATGTGGAAGAAAGAAACCGAATACATAAAGAGAAAGAAAATTAATCTTCAAAGATATGTAGTTATTATTATGTAAATTACCCAGTTGTTTACAATTTCAGTCTTTATTATAATTTCCAATTTCTGTTTTCTCATCAGAATAGAAATCACTTAGACAGTTTTTAAACTGAGGTTTTTGGATGTGGAAGAAAGAAACCGAATACATAAAGAGAAAGAAAATTAATCTTCAAAGATATGTAGTTATTATTATGTAAATTACCCAGTTGTTTACAATTTCAGTCTTTATTATAATTTCCAATTTCTGTTTTCTCATCAGAATAGAAATCACTTAGACAGTTTTTAAACTGAGGTTTTTGGAGTGCAAGGCAAAAGTGTGTTTCTGATTTCCACTTGTACCTTGCATTAGTTCCTGCCAGCTCTTATAATTTGGAATTATTCGTCTTTGCATAACCGCTGCAGACATTATAATTTATTATGATGATAGAGTTACTGAGCCACCTTAAGATGAAATTAAATTGTATAGTCTTTAACCACTAGTTCATATTTTTAGCTTGAATTTGATTCTTCTTATTTAATTACATCACTACGAGATGTAATTGCCTTTGTTAGCATAAGAACATGCCTTTATGTTCTAACTTCTCTTTAAATAAGAAGCTTATTTAAGCCTGTCTGACTTTGTAGTTACTTTCAGACATAGCGATAATTTGCTTTACATCTGTTGGGGGGGGGTTGGACTATTTAACTTTTACCAGCTAAAGTAAAACCCTCATAGGTACATTGTGGAGAAGTTGACAGGTTAGGAGATAAAACATGCAGAAACTAGTGAGAAAATTGTTTTGCATACTGAGACAAATTTCTAATTGTTAGAAAAAATGCTTAAAGAGAAGGAAATCTACATAGCCAAAATGTCTGGGAAGGCTTCAAATTAAAAAGATGCATAAATATTTTATTGAGTGTTGTTGTTTCGGAACATAAGTGGTTTGTATCTTTTAATGTGTAATTATCTAATACCGTTTAAGAATCAATGTCATAAATTGCATGTATTTTAAACTATGAAATTTCATTAGATTGTGATTCTAAGTGAGATTTAATAGTGACCATATAAATCCATAATGACTAAGGTTATCTAATACATAATTTAATTACTTATAACTAATTGCTTATCCTTAAAAATTATCTCTGCATATTAAAGCGAGTTATTATTGCCTTTCATTTAACTCTTACTGTGGTCACAAGCTAAAACACAAAAATGTAAAAATTCATGTAAAACTTATTCTTTGCATCTAGTGAGACTTAAAATAATGCAAAACAACTTATCCCCTCTGGTGCTTTAGTGGATTTTTAGAACTTTAAAGTATATTAACTGAGTCACAACCCCTAGAACTCTACACGAAGCTACGACACTAGCTGGTCAGACAGAGCCCAGCTAACTTTCAAAACTTGCCAACCGTGCTTATATCAGGCCTTTCAGGTTTGTTCTGATCAGCAGGTCTCTCTGTAGGCAAGCAGGAGCAGTGACAACCTCCAGTCTTTTGTTTTGAATCATGCTGAATGTGATTTTACATCTCATTTTATCTTTTGTATTTTGACATAAAATTTACCTGCTATTTACTAAACCTTTAGACTAAGTACGTGTCAAAATGAGACTTTAAAAAAAAAAAAAAATAAATAAAATATATATAATTGAAAAAGAAAATGTAAAGCTAACTGGTAATTAGACGTAAGACCTATTTAGTCTCAAAAACTTTTGTGCATAATGCTGCAAAAAGATATGAAATAATAGTAGTAGGTAGATACATTACAGCTATCTTGCTAAAAAGTTACCAGGAGCTGTAGCTCCACGAAATATTTTAACACATATTACATAAATAAAAAGAAATTTATCTGGAAAAACTGGAAAAAAAACTGTAAACACGTGAAAAAACAGCCAAAATTAATGCTGGAAGACTTGCTAATGCACGAAAAAATTAATCTGACCGTTGTGATATGTGAAAAGTTAACTCGCATGAAAAATAGATCGACGGAAAAAAATTTATAAGGAAAGTAAAAAAAAAAAAAAAAAAAGATTAAAATATGCCTATCTATAAAAAACAAAAATTTAAAAATTAACATGAAGACACATAATGCAACAATACAATATACTATAATTAAATAGCAGGAAATGGTAAATTAACCCACTCGTACTCTCAATTGCCTTTTCAAGGGAAAAAAAACTGATTGTCGAACTAGGTTAAATACCATTATGCGTTTTGCCGAAACAGACCATTGAAGCTCTTGTTTAATGCGAAAATTTTTTTTATAAAAGAACATTAGTATTCCCGAATATATCTTTTTTGGAATGAATCCTTTTTAGGAGCTTCACTGCTCTGTTCCTTTGCTATATATATATATATATAAAGCTAACTGTTAGTAAAATTTAAATAAAATGCCCTAATCTTCTTTCAAACTATTACTGATTTCAAACTATGTCCAACTATTATACCTGTAAAATATTTAATGCTACCTGATAAACTTTATAAGATGGATTTTATTTTCAAATTTGTTTTATAGTTATGTTTATTAAATTATGTTTAATAAGAATGCACCCTACTTATGGATCTGTTTTATTTTTAGAGAGTTATTACAAAAATGGAGTTCAGACATAAGTTGATTGAATTTCAATTTAATTTATTGAGCTCCCATTTTCTGATAGGTCCTTAATTTTTCCATGATTGGTCCTTAAAAGTTCTTAAAAGTACTTAATTTCCATGTGCAGAAATGTGTACGAACCCTGAGTTAATGTTAACCATATATTGCTGAATTATTCACAGTACTGCTAAAATATTAATAAAATTTAATTGAAAGAGACTTGTCATGTATTTATAGGAACTTGAAATTTCAGTATTTAAAATGCATTGTATAAATAGATGAACTTGAATTACTTCTTTAAATCCTGTTGTATCAAAGTTATAAATAGTCAAGGTTTTTCATTTATACTTTTAATTTTTATTTGCAGTTTTAATTCTCAAAAGAACACTTTAGTCTACTATTTCTATGAAAATCATTAAATTTACTGAAATTGATGATAATATTGGAGTTCTAAATCCTTTACACATTTATTTATTTATTTATTTTTATACAGTTTTTCATTATTATTATGTAATATACAAAATTTAATTGCCTTTGCATAGTTAAAAAGGGGGCATATATTTTCCTGATAGCAGCAGATCTTTTTTATCACCAGATTCCTTGGATATCAAATCTTATTTTTGAGGGATATTCAAATAAATGTATTTGCTGTTGAGAACAGTTTCACATTGGTTTGAAATAATTGAAGATAAATATTAAGTAGAGGGGGGGGAGAACTAGTCTGCCATGAGGTTTATATATATATATATATAATGTGTGGATATTTTTTTACATGTAACATAAAAGATGTTTCCAGACTTCTTGCAAATTAACATTAATTCGTTCAAAATTTAATAAGATATATCATAAAAGATATTTCCAGACCTCTTGCAGATTAATTCATTCAAAATTTAATATAAAGTATATCAAAGTTGCAAGTGAAATTATATTAATATTTATTTGACTTGGATTACTAAAATTTAGAAAAAGCACATAATGGTTATGTCCCTAAACTCCTCAGCTTTGGTCAATTGCATTTCAAGAGGTGGAATGAGATAGTCTTATGCTCTTACCACAAGTTTTTAGAGAGTACTTAAATTAACAAATTTTAAATGCACTCATTAGACAAAGACGTACAAATATTCATGCATCCTAGTATTTGAACTTGGGCTCATCAGTGAGTAAAGTTACTCATTACTAGGCACAGTAATATTTGTATCAGTTAATATGAAAAATAGAATTTTCAATTCCAAGATTAGGAACTTAATAAGTAACCTTCTTAGTTATGAGTCAATTAAACTGTATGCATCGTAATGAGTAATTGACTTGTTATTTATTTGTTTTGTAGCAGAATTTTTTTTAAAAACTTTTTTAATAACAAAAAATAAGAACTGCTGTGAATTATTTGTATTTAATTGTATTTCTCTAATCAAGTTATCTTTTCTTTAGATTTCAACTTGAAATATTTACAGGAACATGGTTTTGTTAAGCCTGTCCTGTTTAAAGACAAGGCTGGTTTAGGCATGAGGTATGTATAAAAAGCACTTGTAAATTTAAATTAATTTGTTTAGAAACAGTATTCCGTGTATATATTTATATATGATGTAATACTGAGTGTATATTTAGATGTGTTAATGACTACACAGTAAAATAATCCTTGATTTAAAAAAATCATACTGCTATAACAAACACATAAAAAACTGTGACAGATTACCATAGTTGAAATATTAAGTTTTTTTAAATTCTGTGTACGAAGTAAACAGGAAGTATTGTAATCGTTAAATGTTTCAGCCATCATATTTCAACGAAAATATCCATTTTGATTGCTATCGAATGCAATTTAACAATGTTTTTGTGTGACATCTGTAATAAATAAAATAAATAATAATAACAACAGAATAAAAAACTCTTTTCCCCCAAAAAATTATAAAACTGATTTAAAATGAATTCTAAGAATTTTTCGTGGCATCTGTATGTATGTATCTCGCATAATTCAAAAAAGAGTAACCTCAGAACGTTGAAATTTTGTATGTAGGACTGCTATAACATGTAAATGTGCACCTCGTATTTTGGTTACAATTGGCCGCAGCAAACATATATATATATAGCAACTCTGTTACCCGGCTCAGTGATCTCAATTTCTTTACTCTTAGTTACTTTACTTACTACTATGGTTACTTAATTACTTTAATTACTACTATGGTTACTTGGTTACTTTACTTACTATTATGTTTGTAAATTGTGCATTTTTTGCTTTAAAATGATTGAATTATGTTGTTCTTGTCTTCCTGTTAAGGTTTTTATGACTTTAGTAAATCTGCATACAATATTTGTAGAGTTATCAACAATTTAAAAGTTGTTTAAGTGCGGCTAAACCAAATTATTTGTGCGATGGCGGATATGTTTGTTTACATTTTAAACTTTGGCAAAATAGCAGATTTGTTGCCAATCTAGAGAAACTAAGCCTCGCAACAACAAAGATAACGCCTTCGTTTATTATTGCAAATTAAATCATGTTTAATCCATTCTGGAATTTATTCGAGGAAATAAGTATTTAAGATTTACTTTGTAATTTTTAATATAGATATTTTGAGTTTTTATGTATTTTTGCCTTGTCAGGAAGGGAGAACTGAATTAATTGAATGAGAAATACTAAATCGTGTGTGAAAAACTTTTTTTTGTTTGCTTAATTTCTTTTATATATCGTTATAGATTTATTATAGTATTTGAATAGTACAGGTGGCAATGATTAGATAATTCTTCAAATGATATGAATTTATATGCATTCTGAGTTATAATATGAACGGAATGTAATGCTGTTAAATGAACCCAGTGCCAGAGTGTCACTATGGTAAACAAATATAGTGAATTTTAAAGAGTGCATTTATTCTTTTGTGGTTTATGCGCTATTGACGAAGTAGATTTAATTCAATCCCAATAAGTTTAAATGAATGCAAGAAAAAATGCATATAATTTAATATTCCCTACAAGGAAGTCGTGTGGTGTACACATCAAATTTTTTTTAATTAAAGAAGTATAGTTTTCATTTTATGAATACAGATAATGTATTGCTTCTATGAAAGTTATCAGCTTTCAAACACTTGTCTATGCTTGAAAAGTTCATGTTCAGATCTGCAGTGCATTGTGTGCTTATCCTCTTTTGCTAATTCTATCTCTGTTTTTAGAATATCACCAACCTTGTGTATCCTATAGTTGGACATTCTTGAATCATTTTACACCATATTTTGGTTTAGTGATTATAACTGTAAGTAACAATACCATGAAACATAAGATTGCAGTTTATCATATCCTGTTCAACATAATCCTGTCTGATCGTAATGCACTTAAGGCAGCAATTTTTTTCAGTCCTTAAAGCACGTTTAACCCTCTCACTACGCGCATCCCGCAATTTTCATGGGCAATGTAGAAGTAGCAAAATTTGCGCAACCCGTGATTTCTGCGGGGATGAATTCTTGCCGTCTATTTAACAGTGTAACCCGCTCTTTCCCTGTTCAAGGTTTCCTTTTGGCTTTTCTGTGATGTTTAATTGCTTATTTAGATGTGGGATAACAGATGGTGCTAATTGTTCACATTTCTGCCAAATATACAAGAATACATAATGGAGCATTTTGTGTGCGCTTTTCAGAGTTCAAAGATATCTGGCAGGAAGCGTTTCGCGAGTGGTATAACCTATATGCCTGACGATATTTCCGACACTGATAGTAGTTCTGACTCTGATTTCAAGTATATTGAAGATAGTTATAGTAAAACTGATGAGAATTTCTCGGATTCCTCTGCAGATAGTGATGAATCTGAAAATTCAGTTTCTATTGAAAATTTTCTATTCAGTTCAACAAGTGGTGCAAAATTGATATGCAAAATATTAAGTTATGCAAATATTTTCATTAGTATATATGTTTTACCTTTGTATTTTATAAAATAAATCATAATTTAACCAATGCAGTCAAAAGTCTTTAATCTGGAATTATCTATAATCCGGACCTCAAAGCTACAAACTTTCTGCGCATGCGTAAACGCATAAAGGCCCGTCCACACGAGTACGCTCGCGACGTAGTTGATGCAACTTTTTTGACGCCGGCATAAATTTGCGTGACACAGAAGACGTCCAAACTGAGTTCGCTCCTGTTCAGCTTTTTCGTCCGCGACTCGCGTGTATAACCAATAGCCGACAGAGTTCTTATCACGTCTCATAATTAGAAATCCTTCTTTCTTACCCGTTTCAATATGGCATCAGAACCACACAGAGATGAGTTTTTGCTTAGAAATATCATAACTGTATACAGCAATAAAAGTACTCAGCATTGTTCATGCCATCTTCAGATTTCTCAAACCGTATATATTGGTATAAATTTCAAATTCTCATTAAAGGGGAACATCGCGGCGTGCAATGAACTGGAAGTTGATTTGTCAGCACTATCCTTATCTTCAGGGCAGATGTTTTTATTTTATTCGGCTTATAATTCCGTACTAAATGTAATATTTCATCTCGATGTACTCTGTCTTTGATATGGTTTAAATCAAATTCCTCGACATTATAAATATCACGAATACATATCAAATAGGGTTGGTTTTCTGGTTGCAATTTTCTAATTTCGACTATGCATAATGTATGCTTTATGCATGCACACATTGAAAGAAATGTTTAATAAAGTAATCAAATATTAAGCTTTTTTTTTTTTTAAAAAAAATTTTTGATACCTTTAGATCATAATTGCTCTTTATTTCATAAATTACGGTTTCATATTTTTAATTTATAATTTCTGCATGCCATCTTACCAGATTTAAACTGATGATCTCTAATCTGGAAAAAATGATAATCCGGAACCGCCAAAGTCCCGACGAGTCCGGATTAAAAACTTTTTTTGACTGTATTAATTTTCAAAATTTTCTTTTTATATCATTATTCTTCAATTTCAGTATTCTGACAACCTTTTTCTATGATCTAATCCTACATTGGGGGGGGGGAACTTTTTTACAAAAGAATATTTGTATATCTTATATGTAGATTTGAAATATGTAATAAAAAATACATGATTTTTGAATCTATTTTGATAAAAAAAAGTATGCAGTGAGAGGGTTAAAAGCGACTTTAGAGGAACCCATTTAGGTCATCTTTTTATTTATTTATTTATTTATTTTTTTATTTCATTAATGCATTCAAAATGGTGATACAAAATGGCAGTTTAGACTGTGAAAGTGAGAAAAGGTTTCATTTTAATTGGGTAGGTGAAAAAGTCTTAATTGGTGCAGTAGTTGATGAATATGGAGTTTGTGTAGCAATCTTTGTTGTAATTTATCTCATTAGTCTGACAGGAGCATCAAAACAAGTGTACAAATTTTATCAATGCAAGGAGTGCATGATTGTGTTGGCTCGTTTGCAGGGGCCTTGTGTGTGTACCTTGTAGATGATAATATGACTGTGTGGAGCTCCATTCCAGTTTTAAAAGAGAATGCCTTAGAGAAGGGATCCAAAGTTTTATCCTTTTTCTCCTGCTGCCAAACCTTTCAAGAGGGGGCTGATACACAGTTGACTGTGTATTTTAAGTGCTCTATGGCACAAAGATACAAGTCTCTTACAAGTACTCTTACAAACATCCAAGTCTTCTGTGGGATTTGAATCCGGGTTCAACAGTATGGGAATCGGGATCATTAACCACCATACAGATTACCATTAAGTCAAAACCATTAAGAACAGTGCGAGAAGGTGCATTATTATGAGACAGAACTGAGTATGAATCGTACATGTGCATATTTTAAATCGGTCATTCCCCATACTTTTTTAAAGGCAGTAGTGTGAATTTTGCTATATCTTGTTCAAAAATATGGGTTCCACACCATAGAATTAATGTATCATGAAGGATTTTCTTCAGGTATGAATATTTCTTGATAGTCCCCCTCCAGAAGTTATTAAAAAGCAAAAATATATTTCAAAATGAATTGCTATTGGCAATAGCGCTGCTATCAGCAAAATTAAAAGTTATTAATAAATAATCTGGATCTGTTCCTCATGATGGAAAGTTGCAAATAAATATTATACATTAAGCTTTTTGAAGAGTAATTAGGTATAGGATCTGCTTGCATGTTAAAAATCTTATTTCCTCTGCATTAATTGATGTCTGCTTATGCATCTAGGAAGATGTAATTAGTATAGATTTAAATAATTTTTATTCTACTTATCCATTTGCTTCTGATATAAGTTAATCTGTTATTTCTATGTCTGTGAGTAAATTAAACACATTTCTGATATTAAGTTAATCTGCTATTTCTTCTTCAATGAGTAAGTTAAACACATAGGAATTAACAGGATCTGGATGTATCAATAAAGGAAATTATTTTTGGTTACTATCTTATTTTTACAGTCCCCCATAATGGTGGCAAGATTATCATAGAATTCATGTTTACTTCTGGTTCCTGGTTGCCATATATTTAAGCATCTGAAGCATTTTCTCATCTCAAGGATGTCTGTTATGCAAGATAGGACTCAAGATGATGACTAGCCATGCTTCATTACTTTTTATTCTGCCATTTCATTGAGCTCCACAGTCTCTCAGCATATTTTGTATCAGCATTTGGATCTGCAAAATAACTGATATTTCAGTGAAATAACTTACCGTTTTTGGCTAGTCCTTCTTTTGTGTGCTCATCAACAGTCTGAATAAATCGTTGATCTTTCTTGTACACAGTCATAATTTTTGCACGCCTTGTTCATGACTTTTGCAACAACTATAGTTGCATCTCATATCTGCATTTTCTACACTGATGTACATTTTTCTATTCAGACGTGGAAGTAGAAAGCACTCGCCAATTTCTCAGTGTAACCTGCTGTATATTCATTGTTGTGGAGAAACTCACTTTTAGGGGGGGGGGACAAACCCCCCCCCAAAAAAACAGACTTTTATTTTTTTTTACTACTTAAAGCCCCAAAGCAGACTTTTATCTATTCTCACAATTTTTCTAGGCCATCCACTCTCTTGTTTGGTTGTCAAATTAAATGTAGAGAATACATCCCTCCCATAAAAGTTCATTGGCTGTATTTTCACATGGTTTGAGTTGTTTCTCATACTGATATAAAATAAATTGCAAAGCTGTGACAAGCTGTATTCAAACAGTTTTTCATTATGTATTGTTGGTACAAATTAAACTCTTACAGACTATGTTAACTGTATTCTGGAGTCACTGACGCAGTTTTGTGTTATTGTTTAATGACGTATGTTATCTGCTTGCAACTTTTCACTTTTCAGCTCTAGTTTCATTCCATACCCATTTTCTCATATTTAAATGTGAGGCAAAATGCCTCTCTCTTGGAATAATAACATAGCATCCTCCTCAATTATTGATAAATCAAAAATTGTTAACATTCATTTAAAAAAAAGTACAGCTCTTTTTGTGAACGAGTTAAGTGATCATTGTTAGGACTGCTGTTAGTACTATTCCTGGTGGTGTTTAAAAAGGTGGCTGTAAAAAAAAATGAAGGCAGTCATGCCACTCAAGGGATTAAATGGATGAATTGGCCATCCAGATCTCCATACCTAATCTGTATGAAACATGTTAAGGGTGTTTGTGGAAAAAGAAATGAAATTTGCATTTTCCCTTCTGGAACCCTCCAAGATCTGAAAACAGAATAACTAAAGGAGTGAGACTGATTATCACAGGGGTTCATAAACTGCCTCATATCCAGTATGAAGTCATGTGAGAGGCTGTATTATTTTTCAAGAAATTCATGTCCTCTTTTAGCCTCTTTTTCTGATTGTTCTTCCAGTCTCTGTTTTAGATCTTTCTATGTGATTGCTATTATGGCATATTTTTTTCTGTTATCTCAACTTAAATCCACACCAATTTCATTCAGATCTATATGTTCGTTCTATAGATAATCAATTAAATGTCAAAATTCTTTTAATTTTGAATGTCAATAATAACTTTGAAGGCATAATTAATTTTTTTCTTTTTCACAGATGCATTTCTGCATCATCTTCATAGTATCATTTTATCAGGGGGGATTACTTTTGTAGATAAAATTTACATGCTGCATTTATTTTCATTTTCTGTTTTTAGCCTTCTCAATATATTTATAATTATTTACCATAAAAAGATTTAGCAGATTCATTTTCTATGAATAATATGCTTAAATTGACTTCTTTACTTTGGCTTAAAACCTCCTTAGATTATTTTTTATTGCTTGTTATTCTGGAAATGATCCTTCTGCAAGTACCACATTATTGGGAATAGTAATAAAAAAGTACATTGCAAATTTATTAAAGGCTAGTGTTAATAAATAATTTTAATGGCAGTTGATTAAAATGCATTAGCAGGCATATCATAATATATAACTATTTCAGTTTTATCAAAATTAAATATTTTAAACTAAAGTGTAAAATAAGCTGCTGTGAAAATCTTGTAGGTAAATTTTTAGATATTTTATAGAAGATACATGCTAATGTAAAATTTAAAATTAGACTCTATAAAATATTCCACTTTAGACTGCCGTAAGTGTTACGTAATGCTATTGATTTTGTGAGTGCCTGAAGTAGGGCCCTCTGCTTGGGGGGAACTGTACAGTCCCCCCATCCCCAATAGCTGAAAAAGATATAAAGGTTAGTGCATAGACAGATTTTATTTCTGCAGTGTGCATATGTTGAAAATTGAAAATAGATGGTGATAAAAAGTAGTAGATACTGCATTTTAACGCTTCTTGACACTGCTTAAGACTTCCTAACTTATTGAACAGTTAAAAGCTGCCTATTTTAAACTTCTGTTTTCTTTCTTTTTTAAAAATTTATAAAGACCTTTTTGATTAAAAAAATTAATTCTGAAATATCTGAATTTTTCATTATAGAATGCCAAGTGCCAATTTTACTGTGAATGATGTCCGCCAGTGTGTGGGTAAGTATTTTAGCTAATAATCTGTAGCTTACAATATTTTGTCTTAGGATTTTAGTCTTGTATGTATTTGTAATTACAGGTAGTAGAAGAGTTCTTGATGTCATGGATGTCACAACCCAGAAAGATATTGAAATGACAATGAAGGATTGGTGCAGATATTTTGAGAATCCTAACCGTGATCAGCTTCTAAATGTGATTAGTTTGGAGTTCAGTCATACACGATTAGAAAACTATGTTGAATCACCAACTGTGGTTAGTAATTTTTCAATTTTCTTTTAAAAGATTAATATTTCATTTAAAAACTGTCGTGCTTTTTAAAATGTTAAATAATATATTAATAATATATTTTAATATAACTTCTTGATAAAATATATTTGATCTCAGAACTATAAAATTGTGAAAAGTGAGTAATTTCTGTATGCATTTTTAGTTACGTATTTTATTACTTTCAAATTACTTATGTACAAGAAAAATTTCATAACATTTCATCCAGATAATTTGTGGTTATTTGATTTTGGTGCAAGATATTTCGAGCCATAGAAATTTATAAATTTTTTAAATAAATTTTTGTACTTAATAAAATTTCAGTGTGTTTTTGAAATTAATTTTAAATAAATAAAAAAGTATTTACAAATTCTGTAAATGCTTCTTATAATTTCTTTGCTGAAAATTAAAATTTTCTTCAAAAACATTTCTGTTCCATTTTTTAATTATGCTGTTAATTGGTTAGAATTTAAATGCATATTCATGTAACTTGATTATTTTATTTCGATTATGTAGAAAAAAGATTTATCTTCTAGGTCAGGCAAGTTGATTGGGTAGATTGGGTGTGGCCCAGACATTTGAAAGAAAGCCAAACTGAAGGAACAAATTCCTTAGATGAAATGAAATATCCCAAAGTTCAGAAGTTTGTTTAATTTTAATAATTTTCTCATGTATATTATGTAAGTTATTAAAAACGTTCTGTTCCAATATACAGTCAAAAGTCGTTAATCTGGAATTATCTATAATCCGGACCTTAAAGCTACAAACTTTCTGTGCATGTGCATATGCGCATGGCGCAGAGCGCAATGAACTGAAAGTTGATTTGTCAGCGCTATCCTTATCTTCAGATGTTTTTATATTATTCGGCTTATAATTCCTTACTAAATGTAGTATTTCATCTTGATGTACTCCGTCTTTCATGTGATTTAAATCAAATTCCTCGTCATTATAAATATCACTAATACAAATCAAATAGTTTTCTGGTTGCAATTTTCTAATTTCGACTATGCATAATGTACGCTTTACGCATGCACACGAAACAAATGTTTAATAAAGTAAACAATTAAATATTAAGCTTTTTTTTTAATTTTGATACCTTTAGATCATAATTGCTCTTTATTTCATAAATTACGGTTTCATATTTTTAATGTTATAATTTATGCATGCCATTTTACCAGATTTAAACTGATGACCTATAATCCCAGGGTTCGTAGCAGTTCTTACAAGTGCTTATAAGTCCTTATATTTGAAAATAAAATATAAAGGTCCTTATAGGTGCTTACTTTTTCTTTAAAGCCCTTATTTTTTTATTTTTAGTGCTTTTCCCCCCTTTTCTCTGCATTAACACAACCTATGGTGCGTGCTCCACGTGGTCAGTTCATATTCGTGTTTATTATGATCATTATGCTTATATTATGAGCAAATATGTAATGATATAATTTATAATAATATAGTTGCAGTAACTGCTGAAGTATAGATAAACTTCCAGAAAATGGGTAAGTGTATTTTAACGGAGATTAGCTTTCTAAGGAATAATATTCGGAATGGCTTAAATAAAGGGAAAGTAATCGAAATAATCAAAATAATTTCTTTTTTCCCAATGCATTATACAGTACAGAGGTTGGGAGGTTCTCCCCTTTTTCCGCAAAATCTGCAAATATTGAAACTGTTGTCAATTCGCTGCAAAACAAGCAACGATTTTTTGGGGGGGGTTTTTTTTTTTTTTTTTTTAAATTTGGATTACTGCCCGTGAAGATTTGATAGGGAATTGAATAGGACTAAAAGTTTTTGCGAGTCTACCCAACCTAAGTGAAGATATTGATTCTATTCCAGAAATTTAACTCAGTCTGTTTAGAAATTAGAATGAGAAACACCCAGATTAGTAAGTCTCTTTCTTTTCCTTTATTCAGTTCTTTATTCTCCGAATACCGGCAGCTGTTGATACCGATTGCGTAATATCACATGTGGAAGAATTACGCCGCACATATTGCGCAATAAAGTTTGCGGTATTTTTCAGAGATAATTAATTTTGATGTTCAGTCCGAGATTTGTTTATGAACACTTAAAAGAGTTTTACTATGCTTTCTAAGCAGAATATTTCTCAGTTCCGTTGGTCTATTTTTATATGATGCACATATCGAAATGTCAAAATCAATTATTTAGCCGAGAAATCTAAAGAACGGCTACTATCTCCCCCACTCCTCTTTTTCCAGTTACTATCTGGAATATTCGACAATTTCCGAATATGTGGGTTAGTTAAGCTTTTACTGTTAAAGGATGACTGCATGAAGCAATTTCCCGTCTTCTGATTTCAGAAATGTGCCTCTTTTTTACTTAATTTACTTTGCTTGGAATATATGTTAAGGGAAAAACTGTTATGCAATGAAAATTTATAAAATGTTCAGAATTTTGATTTAAGTTAAATTACTTAAATATTAATATGAGTGGGAAAATAAATTGTATTTATTATTAGGTGCCGAACAAGTACAATTAATATGGCTTATTATTATTTATTTTCTATATTTTGAACTGAAATTTCAATGCTCATTCTCTTAATAAATATTGCATTGCTCATATTTTAAATTACAAGTCTAATTTTTAAGGTTATGCAGTTGTATATAATGTAATTAGACAGGTGCTTATTTTTTCCTTAAAATGTGCTTGAAAAGTGCTTATAGGTGCTTATTTTTTTAACTAAACTGTGGCTACGAACTTTGAATCCGGAAAAATCGATAATTCGGAATCGCCGAAGTCCCGATGAGTCCGGATTAAAGACTTTTGACTGTATAACTTTAAAAACTTTCACTTGGAAAGAATAATTTTATTTAATTGCTTTAATTGCATAAGTAATAAATTTTTCCGTTTCTGTCCATAAAATTTTAGACTGATCACATAAAATTGTAAATTTAGGTACTGTTTAATGAGTGTGAAGGGCTGTTACACTGACTTCCATATTGATTTTGGAGGTACGTCTGTGTGGTACCATATTCTCCGTGGAAAAAAGGTAAACTTTATTATTTTTTTAAAATAAAAACCTAGCTACTGTAAATCATTTTAAAATTTATTACTGTTGTTCTGCCATTTATAATTTATTTTAAATTTAATTTTGGGATTTAACTAATCAAAATTGTATTAATTTTTTATGTTATTGAATAACGTGTAATTTTTGTGAAAATAATGCAGAATAGAAATTATTATTGTGTTATTGAATTTTCTCCTTTGATAGAGAGCTATACACAGGGTGCCTAGCACTCCTTACAAGTGCTTATAAGCTTATTACCTTACGAGTGTTTATAAGCTTATGGGTGCTTATAAGCTTATTACCTTACGAGTGCTTATAAGTGTCCTTATATTTGAAAGCCTTATTATATATGCTTACTTTTTCTCTAAATCACTTATTTTTTGTTTTTAGTCCTTTTTTTAATGTATGCGTCCCCCCCCCAATATCAAAGCCGAAACTGAATAAACAACTTTTCTCCCTTTTCTGGAGCATCAGATGGTGAATCATACTCCTGAAAATAGCTTTTCTCTGTGAGACATTGACGTAACCTTTGATTCGTATGAGTACAGATAGGTGCACGTTGTTCTATTGTTAAAAGAATTGTGAAAGGGGTAGAAAATTCTGTTACATTCCACATTCTTTTCCTCCCACCCACAGACTATATACGTTTGAATTCCTATCAAGAGTTTAATAATTTGCATGGGCGGGGTCAGTTCATATTCACGATTATTATGGTTGATTATGATATATGTATGAATAATTTTATTTGAATTTATAATATAATAATATATGTTCAGTAATTGCTGAAGTATAGATAAACTTCAAAAATAGGTAAGTGTGTTTAACACAGATTGGCTTTCTAAGGAAAAATATTCTGAATGGCTTAAACAAAGTGAAAATAATCGCAAGGCCATGTTGTGTTCACAGTGTAAAACTGAAATCAACATCGGAGAGTCTGCTTTATGTCTTGTGTAAAGTCACCTGTGACACTTAAGTGACACATGGATTGTAAGTAAACATTCTTTTCTATTTAATTATTATTAATTCTGATGTGTGAAATTGAAATCTGCCATGGACTGCTGATTTATTAATTTTATAAATTTTCATTTTCTGCTTTCTAAAAGCTTTTTTTGTACTATTCTTATATATCCTGCCTTCCTATTATTTCTGTATTTCATGCGTATTTTTGAAGTTGGGAGTTCTGGCCTTACATTGCAATTTCCTGCTAAAGCATTATACAATACGGAAGCCGGAGGGGGTCATCCTAAGATTCCGGATCCTTCCCTTTCTCCGAAAAATCTCGAATATTGGAATAGTTACAGTTCACAGCAAAGCAAGCAATGGACCCCCCTTTTTTTGTCACTTTCTAATCCGGATTGAATAGAACTAAAAGTTCTGCGATCTGCCAACCCAAGAAAAGACTGATTCTATTCCAAAAATTGAATAGGCTGCTCAAAATTAGAATGAGAAACGCTCCAGATTTGTAAGTCTTTCTTTCTTTTTTTTTTATTTAGTTATTCATTCTCCAAATACCGGCAACTGTTGATTTCGATTGTGTAATATCATATCATGTGCGTAAAAATTAAGGCACACATGTAACGCAATAACGTTTGCGATATTTTACTAAGGTAACATTTTTATATTTAATCTGAGATTTGTTTATGAGCACTTAAAAGAGTTTTACTGTGCTTGTTGAGCGAAATATTTTTGAATTCCGTGGACTATTTTTATATGTAAATCTAATTTTACAATCTATATGATTCCGATCGCGTAATAGCACACGCGGAAGAATTAAGGCGCACGTTTGTGATACTTTGCAGAGATAATTAATTTTGGTATTCAATCTGAGATTTGTTTATGAGCATTTAAAAGAGTTTTACTGCACTTGCTAAGCTGAATATTTTTCAGTTCAGTCAGGCTATTTTTATATGTTTATATTTTTACAATATGTTTGCAGTGATAATTGGGCTACAGATTTATTATTATTTTTTTAAATCGAGCAATATTTGTATCTGCTGAATGTTAAATTAAGATCTTAATGATATTTTCTATTCTAAGTATTGCGATGCTACGAAAAATAGAGATATTCTTAAAAGGTTTATTTAATGCATATATCAAAATGTTAAAAAAATTAACCAAAAAATCTAAAAAACTGCTACAGTCTCCCTCCTCCCCCCTCATTTTTCAGTTACGCTAGACTATCCGGAATTTTCAGATATTCGGCAATTTCCAAGTATGCCGGTTAGTTAAACTTTTATTGTATAAAGAAAGAATAACTGCATGAAGCAATTTCCTGTCTTTCCGATTTCAGAAATTTTCCTCTTTTTACTTATTTTTACTTCAATTACTTTGTAATATCTGTTAAGGGAAAACTATTATATAATGAAAATTTCAAAAGTGTTCAGAATTTTGGTTTAAGTGAAATTATTTAAATATTAATATGAGTGGAAAAATAAATAAATGTACAATAAATTCTATTTATTTTTAGGTGCCAAGCATAAAACATTTCTGAAAGGGAAAAATACAGCTGAATAACAAGCTTTTTCACCAAATCAAATCCTCCTGTTAGTGCTGCACCTTTCAGTTCTCCAAATGTTATTTGTACTTCACAAAATTCAGATAGTCTAGATTATGCTGTAGGAGCTTCAAAAGATGTTTTGAGCCTTAAAATTTTGTGGTGTTTGAAAGTGGTGACAAGTCATTACTCTTATAGATCTAGCAGAGATATGATCAAACTTTTTACCAGCATGTTCCCTGACAGTGTTATAGCAAGGTGCTTTTCTTGTAATGAGAGAAAACTTGCTTATCTCTGCTATTTTGGATTAATTTGGATAACTTATTTTCAGAATCTCATGTAAGACAAATTTAAGGAGCTATCCCACTTTACCTGGTTATTTGACGAGACTTTGTATAGTGTTGCAATATTTTAAATTTAAATTAATAAACATAAGAATACATTAATGTGAGTGGATTATAGTTTAACCTTTATTCAGCAGTCAGCAACATAACACAGCAAAAAGTAAAATGAGAAAGTTACAATTACTGTTTGCAAGAATGCAAGAACAAAATGCGAGCTGCACATACGATCTGCGCATTGCGAAATAATATCTCACAGACAGGCAGAGGACTCTGGTAGCCGAAACATTCTGCACCGTCGTTGAAACATCGTTTCAAATCTAAATGGCTTTTACAAAATGAAATAATCATAACAATATTAAATTATGGAAAAATGTGCCATCAAAATATTCACAGGAAAACATAATATGAAATTATAAAATGATACACAATTATTCTCAAAACAGATGCACAGAAGCCTTGATACAATTCAGGAACTTAATTATATTTAAAGCTTTTAAAGTGCAACGTTATAATGCTTTAGAAAGGGGGGAAACTTAAGCACTGATAGGCAAAACACTAATTTTGTGAATTGGTCTTTTGAAAACTCCATTATCAGTTTTGAGCTTCACAATACGCGCAATATTATCTGAGCTAGGAAACACTTCCATTGGTTTTCCTCTTCGAGATACAAAGCGCTTCAAAGTGGCAATAAATGATTCTGATGTTAGATTACCTATTAATTCAATATGTATAGTTCTTGTAGTGAAACACACAAATATACAAATGTAGCATTTCATTGATTTTACTCCTTGACCTTGCCTGGGTTTTGCTTGAAAGGGCCCGGTGTAGTCAATTCCAACCTTGGAGAAAACCTTTGACGAAACGACTGTAGACGATGGTAAGTCAGACGTTATCTGGGTAGATGTTTTAGCTCGTACAGGATGACATTTCACACATTTGAAAATCTGTTATCTTACTATTGACCTAGCGTGGATTATCCAATATTCTCTTAAAATCACTGATAGCAATAGTAGGGGCCAGCATGAAGATGGGATTCATAAAAAATGATTCACTATAATCTGGGTTATGTGGTGTTTCGTGGGCAACAAACAACATATGATATTTTCTGTCCTGCACGATGTTGGATTGTCTTAACCACTTGCGCTACGACTAAACTTCATGGTTGCGGTGCCGTGCGCTACAATATAACAAGCAGTAAAGTGTCTCATTTACGCCGCTCCGCGTCTGTGAGTGCAATCCAGAGCTGTAACTCGAGAAATAAACAATCTCCATTCCTATCGATAAAGGGGTTCAAAAAAAGGATCTTACTATTTGAGTTTAACGGTTGATTCTTTTTCAGAAGATTATATTCATTAAAAAACTCATCCATTTGAACTACTCTAACAATTGCATTTCTAGCGTATTGCAATTCTTCGGTTTTAAGGTAACCCTTAATCCTTGTTGCGGTAGATTTAGCTGAATTATTCGCAAACCGAAAACACCATGCGATGATTCTTTTAAGTTTCAAGAATGATGAAACTTCATTAAGGACTGGAATTTGCGAAGCGACTGTTCCAATTGAACAAGAAATATTTTTCCGTTGTTCCTTTAAAGACTCTTCTGAAAATGGTAAGTTGATAGAGAACGGAATATTATTTGAATTAAGCCACTGAGGACCTGTCCACCACAAGTCATGAGTAGAAAGCTCTGAAGGCAAAAGACCTCTTGATGCGCAATCAGCTGGATTCTCCTTTCCTTTTATGTGATTCCAATGCGATGAAGGTAAGACTGATTGAATTTCTGAAACGCGGTTGGCTACGAAGGTTTGCCAGCGTGTTGGTTCTGATTGTATCCAGGACAAAACTATCATTGAATCACTCCATGCGTAAATACTGTCAACATGAATTTGCAATGAATTCTGCACAGCTTGAACCAAATGCACTAATAGAACTGCAGAGCAGAGTTCTAAACGAGGAATAGAGATTACTTTCAGGGGAGCTACGCGAGTTTTTGATGTTAGTAGCTGCACCGAAACTTGAAGAATGATTTGAAGACTTTAAATAAATCACTGCGGCGTAAGCTTTCTCTGATGCGTCACAGAAACAATGAAGTTCTACATTTGTAGATTTGGGCAATAATACTCTCCTAGGAATATGAATGCATTC